GGGAGGGGCCCCAGGGTGGGGGGGGAAACGATGAGGGTCCAAGGTGGGCATTGGGTCTGTCAGAGACGGGTCTCAGGTGGGGCTGGGGTACCTGCTGCTGGGGAGCACCTGTTCTACCTGCCCAGAGCCCAGCACCCAGGTGCCAACCCAGGGTGCAGAGAGGGTGGTGGGGAGACACCGAGACCCAGGATCTCCCCAGCAGTGACTCCCCCAGACCCAGGGCCTCACCAGAAGCAACATGGTGGGGTGAACACACTCAGACCCGGGACCTCACCACGATGGACACCAAGACCCAGGGAGTACATGGAGCATGGGAAACACAAGACCCAAGGCCTCACCAGGAGCATGGGAGGGAACACCCCGAGACCGAGGTCCTCACCAGGAGGGGCATCCAGCATATGGTGGCAATGATCATGATGCCCACAAGCTGCACCATCATCTCCACCTCGCTGTCCCGGCGCCGCTGCACCGACTCCCGGTCATGGTAGACACGGCAGAGTGTCACCACACTGACTGTGTTGAAGATGAAGGACAGCAGCACCGAGAAAATGCCGGGCAGGGCGAAGAGGAGGCAGAAGACAACGTTGCCAGTGTCAGGCAGGAGGGTGAGGAAGCACCAGGATCCAGGGTACTGCAGCGTGTACCGGCCCAGCCCCAGTACCGGCAGCAGCCCCAGCAGGCAGGAGAAGCCCCACACCAGCCCCACAATGGACCAGGCACGGCGCTTGGAGATGCTGGTGGAGCGGGAGAAAGGATGGTTGATGCCAAAGAACCTCTCGCTGGCCATGGTAGCCCCCAGCAGCAGCGGGCACTGCCCGAAGAAGACCATGGAGAAGCCAAGGAAGTTGCAGAGGTGGCAGCCGGGGTCCACCCTGGCCCAGGTGAACTTGATGAAGTGATAGGGGACGATGACCGAGGCTGTCACCAGCAGCCCCATGAAGTCTGTGACCACCAGCCCGCAGAGGAACACGAGGAAGGAGGAGCGGGCCTGGCTGGACAGCTTGCGGGAGGAGCTGAGCACGACACAGAGGGCGAAGAGGTTGGAGCAGAGGCCGATGAGGGCGAAGGTGGTGGAGAACCAGGGCGAGGTGATGCTGTCCTGCCCATCGCCGCTGGCGTTGAACACCCCGAAGCACAGGTCCGCCCGGCCGCCCGCGCTGCCCTGGGGGGGCCCCATGTCCCCCCACCCCTTCCTGCTCCTTCCAGCAGCTTCAGGCTTCCCCTGGGCTGGGCCCCATGGTGTGTACCCCCTGCTGGGGCCGGCACCAATCCTGCCTCACCCTGTGGGGACAAGGAGAGAGGTTCAGGGCCAGTCCCCCCCACAGCCAAGCCTACCCATCAGCCACTCCGAGCCTGTGAACAGGGGACACCCCACACCCTGAGGAAGGAACGCACCCCAGGACCACAGCACAGGCCAGGCGTGCAGGGCCCAGCCCCACAGCTGGCCGGGATTAACCGTCCCTGGCTATGAGCCACGTGGGGCTGTTGCCATGAGGCTGCAGACTGGCGTGGTGGGTGTTTGGAGAAGCACAGCAACAGCAGCTCCCTCCCACCCGGCCAGACCCTCCCGGGGATGTGCCCTCCAGCGCAGAGGGGGAACCTGCTCTGAAGGATGTGGCACGAAGGCACAGGCCTGACCTTGATACCCCCAGCCCTGTGTCTTCCCCTCTGCATACCTGGCTCTGGGGGGAGATGCCCCATTCCCGGTGTGGTGGGGAAACTGAAGCACAGGGTGGGATGTCCACACCTGGAGCTGTGACACCAAGGCCAATCCCCAGCCATGGGACACGCATCTGGTTTGCATGTGTGACATTCCCATTCTCACCCGCCTGCCTCAGCCCACCACAGCTGGAGTCAAGGGTTTGTCACCAGGACGATGGCCGGGGGGGGATGGCAGAGTGCACGAGGACACTGCACTCATGGGCAGCATGGTCATTGTCACACTGCCTGGCTGAGCTGTCACCCAGGGCCAGGAAGCATCTGGGAAGCCTCAGGACTGCTGCCTCCACCACTAATTAGCCCAGGCTGCAACTGGATTGATGGAGATCGGGCAGAGACAACAGTGGGAATCAGCCACCCTTGGGACCAGACTCCCCCACAACAGGGACCAGGCACCCCAGGACTAGACCCCTCTGCTCCTCCTGGGGACCTATTTCTCCAGGTTGTGGGTGTCTTTGCCACCCTCTTTGTCCCATCCCCATACTGCTGGCTGACACCACCCCTGGCCCAGTGACCCCCGTGGGATGCTCAGCTGCATCCTGACCTGCCACCTCTGCAAAGGTACCACCCCACTGCAGTGCCTCCCCTGGCCTCACCCTGTGCAGGGTGGCACTGCCACCTGCCTTCCCTCCCTGTCCCCATGTCAAACCTCGACAGCCCCAAGGGGCACCAAACCCCATGGCTGGTCCTGCAGCTGCCTTTCTCTGTGTCCCCACATCCCCATGATCCCCCTGGTATGTCCTGCATCCTGACACCCCCCCAACCCCTCCCCAGCCCCCGGCACAAGGGCTGGGAGCTGCCGAGCACACCTGTGGTGTGTGCTGATCCCTGTCCCAGGCCTGGGATGGGGGCAGACATTGCAACACCCTCCTCTGGGCCACATCCAGGCAGGCTGAGGGTGCTGGCATCCCTCTGGCACAGCAATACCCTGCCCTCACCCCCAGCCCCAGCTGTGCCATCAGCCCTGCAGCTGCTGTGGAGCGAGGAAGGGGTTGAGGGTGGCAGTGGGGACATGTCCCCATCTCCGTCCCCATTCCCATCCCAGTGCAGGCAGCTGGCACAGCGTGGTGGTGATTCACTGCAGCAGGGTGAGGACAGCCTGGCTTTTTCCATGAGACAAGAGTGAAAACGTCCTGCTGTTTGTTTTCTTTGCTCCCTGAGGGATGGCAGTGGCAGCCCTGAAGGTTTTGGTCCTCTTGGGACATGAGGTCAGGCCTCGGTGTGATGGTTCTGGGTCCCCAAGGAACCACCAGCCTTTCCCACGTCCTGTGGGATTCCCCTCCCTGGGAAGTGGCAAATTCTCCCCACCCCTGCACCTCATGGTGATGACAGGTGGCTGCCATGGTCGAGGATCCCACAGCTCAGGGGTTCAATGGCTCAGAGGTTCCATGGCTTTTGGATCATGCTCTGGCTGTCCCTTGCCACCTGCCTGCCCTCACTCTCAGGGCCCTCTCCCCAAGCAGGTGTCCACCCCCTGCCCCAGCATGGCCAGGGATCAGGAGCCTGTGGGGCCACACTGCTCTGCTGCCCCTCTCACCTGGGGACCCACAGCCATGAGATGCTCTTGGCCCAGTGTACAGGATCCAACCCTCTCCCCACACTGTCCAGAAGAGGGATCTCCCTGTGGTGGCACCATGGCCTGGCAGGGATGCACCAGCCCCAGCAGCTCCACACCGTGCACCCCAAACCATCAGCCACGTCCCCTCCTGCCCCGGTGCAACTACAACCCAGCCCCTCACCCGGTGCAGGGCTGGGGCACGGGGGGATCTGCCCCAGGGGCAGCTGCGGTGCTGGGCTGGGCTCGGGGGACTGAGCAGCCTCCTGCTGCCCCGCACAGAGCTGCGGCGACCAGGGACCCTACAGCACTTAGAGGGAATCAAATATTAAAGAGGGGGCACTTAGCGGCAGCGCGGGGGGGGCGGAGCAGCCGGAGCAAACCAGAGGCACTTATGGGCTCATGTGGGCGCCCGGGGCTCCTCACTCCTCCTCCTGCCCCATCAGAGGCGGCCGCGGGGGGACAGCAGGTCCTGCGGAGGAGAGACCCTGAGCCTGTTCCACCCTCCCGCTCCGAGTGCTCGTGTTTGGGGTTATTGGATCCGGCAAAACCCTCTGCCAGGAGATCCTGTGGGAGTAAGGGTTTGGCCACCAGTGAAGGAGCAGGATGCTGGAGGAAAATCGCGGCGGACAGAAGGTGCCTCCAGCCCGGGGCACTAATGGGGATCCTGGCGCCGCCAGAGCCCGGGGGTCGGTTTGGCTGCCCCGGCCCCGCCCGCGCCGCTTCCTGCGCTGCCCACATCCGAGGGGAGCGAGGGGAGAGGCTGACGAGGAGCACGGGAGGCAGCTCCTTATCAGTG